GATTTTGGGGGGAAAAAAATGAGGAAAATGAGAGAGAAATGGGGGCAAGAAAGGGTTAAAAAAAAAGGGTGAAAAACGAGTCAAAATGGGCCCAAAATGGGTCAAAAATGGGGTGAAAAAAATGGTGGAAAAATGGGTAAAAAAAGGGTAAAAATGGGCAAAAAACGGGGAAAAATGGGCAAAAATGGGCAAAAAATGAGGAAAATCGACTATTAATGGTTAAAAATCACCATTTTGACCAAAAATGCCCCATTTTTTTCTCCCCCCCCCCCCCAGGTTCGGTGAGTTGCGTTTTGGTGACGTCGCCGGCGGCGCCGCCGGAAGCGCCGGACGAGGGCGGGGCCGACCTTTGGCCCACCTTGACCTTCGCCCTCCTCTTCGTCCTCAGCCTCTGCTACGGGGCCGGGGTCACCCTCCTCAAGGTGGCCCCCCAAAAACCCTAAATTATGCAAATTCATGCAAATTTATGCAAATTTGAGCAAAATATGCAAATTTTGGAGCGATTTACGTGAATTTCGAGCCATTTATGGAATTTGTGAAGATTTCGATTCGATTTAGTTAAATTTGGACAAATCTACACTATTGACAGAACTCGGGACGACTTTATGCAAATTTATGCAGATTTATGCAGATTTATGGAAACGTATGCATATTTGGGGAATTTCGGAGAGGTTTTGAGTGATTTTTGCCAATTTGGGTGGATTTCACGTGGATTCGGTCAAATTTGGGTGAATCTCCGCTATTTACGCAATCTGGGATAGCTTTCCACCAATTTATGCAGATTTATGCAAATTTATGCAAAATTGGCCAAAAATATGCGAGTTTGCGAGAATTTCGGAGCCATTTCCGTGAATTTCGAGCCGTTTATGCAAATTTATGAAGATTTCGATTTGATTGAGTTAAATTTGGGCAAATCGGGACGATTTTATGCAGATTTATGCAGATTATGCAAAGTTATGCAAATTTATGCAATTTAGGCCCAAATATGTGAATTTACGAGAATTTCCGTGAATTTCGAGCCATTTATGCAAATTTGTGAAGATTTCGATTTGATTTAGGTAAATTTGGGCAAATCCACGCTATTTGAGGGACTCGGGATGACTTTATACAAATTTATGCAGATTTATGCAGATTTATGCAGATTTGGGCCAAATATGCAAATTTACGAGAATTTCGGAGCGATTTGTGCAAATTTGTGAAGATTTCGATTTGATTTAGGTAAATTTGGGCAAATCCACGCTATTTGAGGGACTCGGGATGACTTTATGCAAATTTATGCAGATTTATGCAAATTTGGGCCAAATATGCGAATTTACGATAATTTTCGAGCCATTTCCTTGAATTTATGCAAATTAATAGTAAAATTTGTAAATTTGGGATCTATTTATCAGAATTTGAGGGGATTTGCCCCCATTTTGTGCCAATTCATGTCAATTGTGATTTCGGGGAATTTGTTACGATTTAGGCAGATTTATGCAAATTTATGCAAATTTATGCGAATTTACCAAA